TGGTGTTTTAGCGGCGTTCAATATCTCATGAAGAAGCCATCGTGGCACCTATGTTTTTGTAAAAAAAAAAAAAAACTATCTTTAAATCTTGGTGTAAAAACATCCTTTTCTTGCAAGGGTATTTAAATCATGAGGCACTGGAGACAAGTAGCCTTCTGCGTTAAGTCCTTATGGCACACACTTTTTGTTCGCGTTCCGGCCGTTGAAAACCATGCGGGAAGGGCCTCGGCACGCACCTGGTATCGCTGCGACACAGTGTCCTTCCGCAACCTAAAGTCCGTCTGCTTTCATCGCCGACACCGTGACAACGAACGCCGAATCAATGGAACCACGCACGGTACCGCCGCGTGAAGCCAGCAAAAGCTGACACCATTTTATATAGGCCGTCTGCCAGCCAAAGCCAAACGCGGTGTGTGAGATCGGCCGCGTTCGCCGGTGCGTCGCTGGCAAAGACGACGAAGCTGAGACAACGATGACGCAATTTAGCAAGCGAGAACACAACGGGACGACTGCAACAGAGGCGTTTAGTGGGATCAAAGGCGGGAAATAAATAAGAGAAATTTTTATTGGGATCATAACGCGCGATATCCTAGTTGGGGACCTCATACATTTGCTGGGTCTTTCCTGTGAATTTTTTACGGAGACACGGGGTGCCGCATTTAGAAAGCAGCTCCGTTGGCAAACAATAGTGGCCCTAAAAAGGGCCGTTTAGATCGTTACCAGAACCTAACTGACGGAGCGGGCACTTGACAAGCGGTTGTCGCATAAGTCGTCTTTATGCAAGAAGCCGGGCGACGGGCTCAGCGCAGCGGATCAATCGAAGTCACCGGGGACGTCAGAATCCTTGTCGTTCACATTGTAGGGAGGGTTCCTGTCTGGCTTCGGTGCTGTTGATTTTGGCGGCCGCGGCGACGGACGACTGGAAGCTATCAATGTGTCCGTGTGCCTTTTCTCTCCCCCAAGGCATGGAATTTGCAAGGTGGCCAGTGAAATGGTGGCTCTCGCGCCGTCCAGATGGAAAAAGTTTTTGGCGTAAGCCCAGGTGCCCTCCACGTATTGGTGTGCGCGCCAGTGTTCGGGTCGACAAAGTGCAGCTTGTGGTTAACGGTGAGGTGCGTGAAGCGAGCTTCATCTGCAAGCTTGCGATAGCCAGCCCAACAATCAGTGATTATTCTTGTTCGAGGGCGGACCCACTCGGCTATTAGCCCTTGCAGTGTTTTAGCGTCACGGGTCTTCACGGGTACAAGAAAGCAGCACCCACTGCCACGCTCCACACCGCCCAAAACCCACTGGCCAGGCCTTAAATACCCACGATAGTACTTTCGCTGCCGGAACATACTATCGTCTAGTTCTACAGTCACGCCTTCGGCGCCAATCACCTCTGAATGCGTAAAGACGGCATTTTTAAGATCCTCCCGACAAAGGCTCGTCCAATCAGTGGCTGTCTCACTGAGATACCAGTCTCTTGCAGAATGACGCTGCACGATAGATGCTGGCACCAGAGCTAGATGATTTCCATGAGTTTGGGAAGCGTCAGGTGCGATCACTTGAAAAAGATACCGCTCCGTGCCCAGACCTTGCACGGCACTGAACCTTGACTGGGTTCCTCTTGGGCACCACACGAGTCACCCACACACCACAGCTCCACGAGTAGCCATCCGCATGTCTAGCGCGGACTTGCAGCGTCATCGCAGCTTGGCACTCTGGACACGCACGAGAACCCAGGGGCATGCCCATGCCCTGAAGAAAATTCATTTCTTCTAGAAGGTCTTTCATGGCGTTATGAATATTCACAGGTTAAACGCCATGGCACTGCGATGCTCGCCTCTGGAAGAATAAAGCGCCGAGGGGGCTGAACGACCAGAGCTGCGCGCCTTTACATTTATTATTTTATTTTATCCGCCATATTATACCTCATGACTCTATTCCAATAACCTCATTGGTGGATCGGTCGGACCACACCATCGCGTGACAGAACAAACGCCAGACGTATGACCCAGCGGTCGCGACGGCAGCGTCATAGAAAAAGGGGCAGTCGAACCCAACAAAGTTACAATGTGAATAAAAATGGAAAAAAAAAATTAAAAAAAATCAGAAGGGAGCCGTTCGATTCTCCGACGGCCTGTTCTTTGATGATGGGAGGAAAGGCCGTGCTGCTCACAGTGTTCTTTGTTTGTCGTATTTTCGTTTCTTTACCCTAGAGTATCCGACGTCCCTCATTTGAAGATGATTTTTTTAATTTAATAACAAACAATGCGTTGGAACGAAGGAGGAGGAGGAGGAGGAGGAGGAGGAGTGAGTCTTGGCGTCAGAATTCGACGTGATAGAAAATAAAAAAAGAACAAATGCGCAATATATACCTTATTGTGAGACCGTTATACTCCGCACTCGGCGAGGAATCAGGATGACGACGACGAATATTAGGCTATTTGTTTTGTTTCTTTAGATATTTTTATTGTGATGACTTCTCCACCGTGTTTTGTAGTGACCGAAAGGTCACTACAAAACACGGTGGAGTTAATACACGGGTTAATAATCTCGAACCCGGACACGGAGATTGGTTTTTCGGGGCCCACTGCTAAACGCAAACCAGCTCGGAGACGATGATGCGAACCCCAAAAAGAGGCTTTTTTTGCTCTGTAAATGAAAGGAGATCAAGTACCTGGAATGGCTTCGTCCCGAGATAGGGATGGTGGCTCCGTAGAGGAGTGCGGCTCTTGCGCTCTCTGGTGCGTCCGCGTCGGCCCTTGAAACTCCGAGAGAGAGAGTGTTATTTTCGTGAGGGCCGTACCCACATCCGCAGCAGGTCTTCGAGAAGAACAGCCTCTAGTCGATGGACTAATTTAGGTAAGGAAAATTGGCAAAACGGATCTGTAACCTTGGAATAAGGATTTGCTCTGAGGACTGAGCCAGTCATCAAGGTTCAGTGCTGGGGCGAGGTCTCTGTACGGAACGATTCCTCCATCCAGGGATCGCACCTGACGCTTCCCCAACTTATGCAAATCATCTGCCTCTGGTGCCAGAACCTACCGTGCACCGTCATTCAGAAGGAGATTGATGTGCCAAGAAAGACAATAACTGATTGGACGAGCCTTTGTTGGGAGGTTGTGGTAAATTCCGTCTTTACGCATTCAGATATGATTGGCGGCGAAGGCGTGACTGTAGAACAAGACGAGAGTATGTGCTGGCGGCGAAAGTACCATCGTGGGTATTTAAGGCCTGGCCAGTGGGTTATCGGTGGTGTGGAGCGTGGCAGCGGGTGCTGCCCTCTTTTACCCGTGTAGACCCGTGACGCTAAAACACTGAAAGGGCTAATAGCCGAGAGGACGTCCACCCTGGAACAAGAATAATCACTGACTGTTGGGCTGGCTATCGCAAGCTTGCAGATGACGCTCGCGTCACGCGCCTCACCGTCAAACACACGCTGCACTTTGTCGACCTCAACACTGGTGCGCGCACCAAAACGGTGCAGGGCACCTGAGCCCACGCCGAATACTCTCTTCAATCTGGACGGCGCTAGAGCCACCATTGCACTGGTCATCTAGCAAAGTTTTTGTTTTGGAGAAGAGAAAAGGCGCGCGAAAACATTGATTGATTCCAGTCACTCGTCGCCACGGGCGTTTAAATCTACAGCACCCACGCATACAGTGACCTTCCCTACAGTGCGGAGAACGAGGATTGTGACGGCCCCGGTGGCTCCGAGTGATCCTCGCGATAAGCCCGTCGACCGCCTTTGTGAATAAAGACGACTTATGCGCCAATTACTTGTCGAGTTCTCGTTTCGTTAGTTAGGTTCAGGTAGCGGTCTAAACGGCCCTTTGTAGATCCCCCATATTTTCTAAACGAAGCTGCTTTCTGAATGCGGCACCCCGTGTCTCTGTTAAAAGTTCACAGGAAAGACCCAGTAAAGGCATGCGGTACCCAACGAGGATATCGCTCGATAAAATTAAAATAAATATTTATCTTGCTTATTTCGCGCCTTTGATCCCAATAAATGCCCCAGTTGCAGTCGTCCCGCTGTGCTCTCGCTTGCTCAATCGCCGTCGGCATGTGTCAGCTTCGTTGTCTTTGCCAGCGGCGCTCCGGCAGATCTGACACACCGCGTTCGGCTTTAGCTAGCAGACGGCGTTCGTAAAATGGTGTCAGCTGTTGCTGGCTTCACGCGGCGGTACTGTGCGAGGTTCCATTCAATCGGCGTTCGATGCCATGATGATGGCATTGAAAGCAGACGGACTTAATTTTGCGGAAGAATGCTGCGGCGCAGCGATACCAGGTGCGTGTTGAGGCCCTTCCCACATGCTTTTGAATGGGCGGAACGCGAACAGAAAGAGTTCGAAATAAGGACTTAAAGCAGAAGGCTACTTTTCTCCAGCGCCTCATAATTTAACGAGCCTTGCACGAAAAACGTGTTGGTTTGGCCGTCCCGCGTCCTGTGCTTTTTATCTGTAACATGGGTCTAGATTATCAAACTGCAGCCATTGTCAGCTCCTCGCTGCGAGATGTTGTCGGACAGGGAACAAAACGTGCAGTGAAATCGTCATCAAACTTCATAAGTGATCCTACCGCTGCCACGAAAATTATACAGGCTCATTGGAGCCACCTTCAGATCCGCCACTCAACGTTCACCAGGACACCATTGCACTTCTCGTGTTCTTCGCCTAGCTCGAACAATTCATATACAATTCATATACAAAGACAACCACCGACAGCAACGGTTTCCAGGCTTTAACTGTCGCGCGTGCCCTCCTGCACCTTGCGAACCCCGCGAGTCATCTTTATTTTCTTCAGTTTACCCTAAAATGCAATATACCTGCAAAGGTCTCTACAAGCCTCCAAAAAAGTCGCGGGAACAAATTTTCTATAAGCCAACTTTTATACCTTGGATCAATATAATTAATAAAATCAGTCCCTTTCCCATTTTTTTTTGAAAAAAGTTTCGTATAAAAAACCTAATACAAACTAAAGATGTGTTAAAGAGTCTGAAACTTGATGGCACCAACCTTTGGCCGAAGCAGCGGAACATAAACGTTCTTGGTGAAGAGGGCCCCAGAACTGAGCATGCAGGCGTCTGCCGAGGACATAGCGGCCGCGGCCACAGCCCCCTGCCCCAGGACTGACACCGACTTGGGAGTCAGGTGCTGCAGCGTAAGGGGCAAGAGCAGGGACCACTGGGACTCGTCCTCAAGCGGGGACCTGGTGCCGCCAGCGGCGCTGGTATAAGAGGTATCTTGCCATCCTGGACGTAAGCTTCCAATTGGTGATCGGAATAATACTCTCTGTAGTTACAAGCATTCCTAATCATGTTTTGAAGTCAATAGTAGAATGAATAAGTGTGTAAAATCCTGAAAAGAACAGTTTCGATTACAGTCGTGGTCATTTGTCTACATAAAACGGTAGGATTACACTGAAGGCCTTAAAAGCAGTCATTGAATGCTCTTGTCGCGATGATGTTAAGAATAAACGCTTCTGTTGGCCGTCTCTTCCTTACTTAATTTAGGGTGTTTTACGAAAGGTGGACAAATTCGAAATTGCGAAAACCACTCGTCGCAACAAAAAAGGCTTGTGTCCTTTTGGGCGTGGGCCAGGCGGGCCATTTAGGAACATTATTAAAGTTCGGAATAACTAGATTGTTAAATATTTTTGCGTAATTAACTTTTTTAATATTGTGTTCAAGGCCATGGTTTCAGTTAGAAAATTGCTCGGCATCGTCGAAAAACACTAAATCAACAAATGTCAGAACGACACAAGGCACGCCCAGCATTTTACGGCTTGCTGAAAACCGTACAAATCCGAAGGATTTTTAAGTTTCGGTTTGCAATCGGAGCGCATCTCGGCCCCGACGTCAGCGCGCCCAGTGGAGAAATAGTGCAGCCAACCACTGCCGCGCTGTCCTCGCGTAATGCAAAGAGGCTGGTTGCACTATCCACCAGGCGCGGTGCCGCCGGTGCCGAGATGTGCTCCGATTGCAAACTGAAACTTAAAAACCCGTCGAATTTGTGTGGGTTTCTCAGAAAGCCGTAAAATGCTGCGCGTGCCTTCTCTCGTTCTGCATTTTGTTGATTTAGTGTTTTAGAGCCCAGCTCTAAGGCGCCCCTTTTGCGGCTTGAGCGGCGTCGTCGACGGCGTTGGCGTCGCCGTCGGCGTAACCGCGCGGTACATTATGGGACGCGTGACGTCACTGATGACGTCCTCAGTGACGTCATGAGTGACGTTATCGTCATCATCATCGTCACTGATTACGTCACTGATGACGTCATCGTCATCCGCATTGTCAGCGTCATCGTCCCTGATGACGTCATCATTGACGTAACTGATGACGTCATCGTCATCGTCAGTGATGACATCATTAGTGACGTCACTGATGACGGCATCGGCATCGTCATCATCACTGACGCAGTTGTTGGAACACGCTAAGCCGGCAATTTCATCGTTTCAGGTTGGTGCAAATTTTAACACAACTTCTCTAAAAACTGTGCCTACTGCTGCCGCTGCTGAAAGACTGTTGTGTGAGTTGTCATGGCTGACGAGAGCCTTTGTCTGGCATGTCGAAAACCCTTTCCAGAGATTGGTGTATACGCGGCATGTTCGAAATGCGGCCACGGTTACCATTTCGGGCGGTGCGCGAAAGTGGATGAAAAGGCCTACAGGCCAGAGAGCTGGGAGTGTTCGACCCCCCATGCCGGGCAAGAAAATACAAGGAAGCTAATGATTTAGAGAGGGCCACGAAAGCGCAAGAAATTTACATCATGTCGCTTTTAACTGGTATCACCCGGAAACCTGCAGGTCTTGATGGTATTACGGCAAAAGTTGACATGCTACTCAGCATGAAAGAAACTGTCTCTAGTATTGAGGAATCGGTTCAGCACATACAAGACCAGTACGATGAAGTCCTTAAGCAAATCAAGGAACAGAACAAAAATGTAGCTGAAATAAAAAGAATACTTGAAAAGATTAAGAACAGTGGAGGTTCAGAGATCGAACAACTCGTCCAAAGCATTAACAACTTGGAGCAGTATAGTCGGCGCCAGAATCTTGAGATACATGGCCTACCACTAAAAGACCAAGGAAACCTTTTGCAAACCGTAAACACACTCACGACTGAACTTGAAGTTCCAGAGCTTACCGAAAAAGACATCGAGGGCTTGCACCGCCTTCCAGCGCGCGCTGGCCAGATACCCGCGGTGCTAGTACGATTTAACTCGCGAGCAACTCAAGAGAAATGGATCAACAAAAATGTTAACTGGCGAGAACGTCAGCCCAGCATCCGGGTTTTTTGAAAATCTAACGGCGGTAAACAAAAAATTGATGTGACTGGCAAAGGTAAAGGAAGAAGAACATGGCTATCAGTACACTAGGCAGAAGCACGGAAATATGTGCGTTCGTAGGAGGGCGGGTGATCGGGCCATCAAAACTAAAAGTGAGAGCGACCTAGAAAAGATAAACTAGAGAAAATATAGCCTTGTATAGTAGATAGCACTCTTCAGGATGACCGAAAACAACACAATTTGTTCCTACTACGACTCAGCCTCTTTTAATCACATTGCGGGGAATGCTCCCTTCAAGGGAAGACGACTATCCCTTTCCACTTAAACGCGAGAAGCAAGGAGAAAGAAACAAGATGAATTAGACACCTTTTTACACAACCTTAACATTTACTTTGATATTTTAGCGTTCACTGAAACTTGTTTTACCGGCGAAGATGATGTTGTTCCACTTGAGGGATACAAAGTGGAAAGTGTTTACCGAGAAGATAGAAGGGAGGAGGGGTTTCTTTGTATACTCGACACGGCCTTAAGCACGATGTCGTCACTGAATATTCCTTAATCTGCTGCGACTATGAGTCTCTAGCTGTTAAATGCGGGCAGATGATTATAACTGTAATATATCGTCCGCCATCAGGTTGCATGGCAAATGTTTTTTTGTTTTTTAATTTGTGAAAAATTTACTAGATTATGCTTCGTCTTCCTGTATAAAGCTGACTTTAACCGTTGATTTCAATATTGATATTAACTCCTCTAACGAATCATCTACACAACCAATGGAGATTGCAGAATGTTACGGGTTTTTAAATGTTGTTGATATACCTACGAGAGTTACTATAGATACTGCTACTGCAATAGATTTATGTTTAAAAAATTGTATCCTAATGAAATTAGAGGGGGGTGTGTTAACATGAAACTTAAATGACCACCTGCCAACTTTCTGCTTTTTTTTTAAATTTAAAAATAGATTTGTGCCCGCTCCCACTATAACACACCCACCCATCAGTAAAACGAACAAGTCTTAATACATTTTACAGTTTGGAGCCAAGTATGAACTGGGACATTGTGTGTAATGAAAGCAATCCTGACATATCCTACAAACTTTTTTTTAACAAGATCATATCCTTGTATAATCAAGCCTTCTTATTAAAAACCCTGAGAAAATGTAAGAAATCAAGAAAACCATGGGTGACTTCTACGTTTTATAAAAGAATAAAAGAACGAGATGCCTTGTACGATAAATTTATCAAGTTGAAAAATAAAGGGATCCTGGTCAACTACAAAAAAAATTCGAAACAAATTGAACTCGGAGTTAAAGAAGGCTCTATGTGATTATTATATTAATAAATTTACGGGTATTCTAGATGCCACCAAGAAAATCTAAATCACTGTAAGAAATTTAATTTCAAAACCTAGTAATCAAACTCCGCCTGAACTTGAAATAAATGACACAAGCCGTGGAGGAAAACAGCTCTCAGATATGGTTAATGAACATTTTCTCAAATGAGGTGCACCTTCGTCTCCCTCAACCAATGAAGCGAGTGCCACTTCGTGCATATCTCATAGCGTGATCAGTTCAGTTTTCTTACGTCGAACTGATGAGGAAGGACTACTTAACCTCGCTAATGGTCTTAAAACCAGTACTGCTGCAGGGGAGGACTCCCTCAAATCAGAACCGATTAAGCATGTTTCCAAACTAATATCCACTCCGCTTTAACCTATATGCAACCTGTCATTAGTAGAAGGTCGTTTCCCAAGCCGAAGGAAAGTAGCGCGAGTTTGCGTTATACACAAGGGTGGTGCACAAGACCTTTTGAATAATTACACGCCAATTTCTGTATTACCCGTTTTTTATAAAATATTAGGACAACTAATAAATACCCGATTAAATAGTTTTTTTTTGTTTTTTTTTTTTACAAAACACAAAAAATTCTAGAACAGCAGTTCAGATTTCAAAGAAATAAATCGACGGAAATGGTACTTCTAAACATTAAAGAAAACATTATAACCAATATAGAAAATAAGCAATATACGATCGGAATATATCTTGACTTTCCAAAAGCTTTCGATTCAATTCAGCAGAAAATACTATTAACAAAGCTGAGTACCTATGACGTAGGACACAAAGCGCTAGAATTAATATGCAGTTACTTGAATTCTCGTTCCCAATTTACCGTCTATAACGGCGTTAAGTCTGATATTCAACAGATCGCAAATGGTGTCACACAAGGATCCATTCTAGGACCAATTTTGTTTCTTGTCTATATTAACAATATATTACATGTCTCGTATTTTGAGGACATGGTATTATTTGCAGGCGACTCCAATGATTTCTTTTCCCACAATGACCTCAGGCATCTTGAAAGTGTATCAAATGATTAGTTGTATCAAATGATATAACTAAGTATATCATTTTCAGGGTAAAAAACAAGCCACTTAATTATGCCATCGATATAAAATTTAATTCAAATAAATTAGAGAAGGTTGAATTCACGAATGTCCTCAGTGTATGGTTTTCCGAGAATTTGCACTGGACGATTCATGTATCTAAATTATGTTTGAAACTGTCACGATCAATCGGCATATTACATAAACTAAGACTCTTACTACCAACATCACTGAAGCGCCAACTATACTGTGCACTTGAGCACTATCACCTACATTACTCTTCATTGGTTTGGAGAACAACATCAAAAAGCAAACTTAAAAAACGTTTTGTACTAAAAAACTACAATTCGGTACATTGTATGCTTGTGCTATAATGATCACACATACATTTATTTTAAGAAGTATAACTTATTGACTATCCAACATTTAATATTTTCCAATTTTGCGAAAGTAATCTTCAGTTGTTTTAAAAACGATATGGAGTCTTTAGTTACTCAATTTCCCTTAAGAGGCACCCAATATAAATTAAGACGTGTGCAATATGATAGAGGCCAAATACGTACTAACAATGGAGAACAAACATTGATGCAGCAAATAACACAACGTTTAAATATGCATCCACAAATTTTCGATTAGCAAGTATATCAAGATCTGCAAATACATTTAAAAAAAGAATAGGAGATTATATTTTCGAGCATGTATAGATTATTGTGTAGAAATGCTGCCAGACATTTCACTGAGTTCAAAATGTGCATATTTCTTCTTTTTTTTATGTTCTTGTGTTTCGTTTGTATATATACTGTGTCTTCCTTGTAAGAGTTGCGCCGCTCTGAAACCTGTATGGGGTACGGGAACTGGGTCAGGTGTTTCAATACACCTTTTGTCCCTGCCATTCGAAAATGAAATGGCAAATAAATACAATTATTCCAGGCTTTAATAATTTTCCTAAATAGGCCCCTGGCCCTGGACCAAAACGACTCAAGCCATTTTTTTTTGTTTTTTTCGATGCGTTGTTTTCGCGATATCAAATTTGTCCACTTTTCGTGAAACACCCTGTATATATATGTACTCAACGAAGTTGAAACAAAGCACTAAAAAGGTTGAAGCTTCCATTTTCTATTCACCCTTATTCTGAGACTGCAGCCAAAGCTACAACCGCGAGCTAGCCCGCTCTCGTGGCTTTGAGACGTGCATTTTAGCGCGAATGCTCGTTCTCAAAAGAAAGCGCTTCAAAGCCGTGACCTCGTGCTCCCGTGCTTGTACCATTGATTGCAGCCTTAGCTTAAGGGTAAACGGTGTATCGGAGAGCACGACAAGGAGCCGCCTGCAAGCCTTAGAGCAGTAGCTGTCTTCTTACCATACAATAATATTGGCAGCGACTATTATTTGCAGACTCCTACAATGCGTAAAATGCAGTATTCAAGGAAATATTGTTTAGACTTGACGTCCTATGTCACGATATCTTGGTATCTCATATTTAGCGATGGCACGGTGTCACGTGAATTTGCATTACGGGAGGAGTAGCCTGGGTTCACGTCATGTGTCCAGGTGCCCCGTGTACCCAGCAACTGCGCTTAGATAAAATGCTGTAGCGATAAACTTATTACGCTACTCACAAGAGTTCGGCTAGCGGCGCAGTCTGAACACGAGAAGTGTGCCAGCGTTTGGCTACGTCTCATGCTCAATCAGTAAGAAGGAGAGTCCCTGACAGTTGCTGACGCGGCATTCGTGTCCGATATGCTCGCTAGCTTGCCATTTTACTTGACGAAAATATTTCAGCACCACGCCCTTCCTTTTGTGTGGTGCTGACACCCCGCGCTTTTCCTATGCCCTTCTACGCGGTACGCGCGAACGCTCGGACGTACTAATGTATGAAAGAACTACTTTTTAGGTAGCAAGTGCTTCAATTATCAAGTGTCCCACGTTTTAAAATTACGGTAGCAGTGAAACGTTGGAAGCATATTTTTGTTTCTTTTTTTTTTTTTCAGCAGTGTTTCTAATTTTGTCGGGCTGTGGTATATGTAGAGTGCGTGGCAGTATCTGTGCTTATCTTTTGAAGGTCTTTCAGGCTTTTTTCTTCTCAACTTCGTTTTATTGCTACTTTGTGTGTTTGCTAATTATTTTAGGAATTCGAGCTTAATGTTTTCAGTTCAAACTGTATGAGTAGTTGACATTACACTACAGTCGGCCGTTTGAATGCTTGTTCTAAAAAACAATTGAAGAGCGACCTGTCCTTTTTTTAAAGCATGCCATCTGCAGCACGATGCTTCTGATGCTTCATGCACCAAATATCTTAAAGTGCAATGTTTTTTTTAAGGATAATTTTCTAGTATAATATTTTCCAGAAGTCTCATTAAGTATAAACAGTTATACCACCAAGTAATTAAACGTAAATTTAGTGGGTGTTTTTTTTCGTTAAGTTTAGTGGCGAAACTCGATTCAAGTTGTATATGTATGTATTGACGTCCAGAAAAGGCCAAAAGCACCTGGGATATTTGTGTTGTCTACTTGTCGTTTTTGTGGACCTTTCTTTCCTTCGCCATGCATTATTAGCTGGACGAAAGAAATGCTATTGTATACATAATAAGCAGCGTTCACTCCCTCAACACGCAGCCAGAGCAAGCGGCCCCGTGGTCTGGCCCCGATTGTGTGTCGGCAATGTTCATCGAAGCCACGCCCCAAAGTCGGCAAAGCACAGGGGACGTCATGAGGTATATGCATTTTTAAGATTCTGCTATCCTCCTCATGCATTTCAACGACTGGCCACGAAAAACTACACGAATGCTCGTCGAACGAAATTAACTAGCCCAAATCCAAGCATTGCGAGTCCTTCATTTTCATGAGCCCGAGTCCAGTGCTCACGCAGTGCTCGTGTCCGATCTGGGAGCTGCATTTGAATATCGGCCTTATACCGTCAGCTGTCACGACTACGACAGCAGTGCGACCCCCGTAAGTACGTGATCAACTTGTGTGGTGGAGAAACAAAAGAAAAAAAAAACGTACGCTTTTAACCTTATTATTACGCCTTACGCGCTACCAAGAAGCTTCTAGGGGAGTTCCGTTGCATGCGAATACACTTTGGTCCCACTACGGCTCGTATGCTTGTGTAGAATGAGAAACATTCTAATCCATTATCATGGCACGAGGCTTTTAGATATTTCATTCTATGCGCCATATATGGTTTCGGAGGTAAAGATCCCTGCCACGTTCTTGACAGCACAAGTTCTTGCAGATGGTCCCTTTCAGTAATGAACACAATATAGCAATCATTTTACTGACAATGTCGAGGCGTGTTCGCAATTCATTATTCAATTTATTATTATTATTAATATTATTAATAAGGAACCACCATTCACGTACACCGCCTGGGCACGTTCCATAAGACGTTGCTGGCCGATAACGTGTCATCGGTCACCTGCTGCTCCCTGGAGATCGAAATGTTTATACATACTGGCAGCCCTTGCGACGAGTCCAAGAAGGAGCACGGGCAGACACAGTACCAAGGTGCCAACACACCCGGCGTAGGGAAGCGCCTTGGCCCTGAACTCGGTTTTCGCAGAGAGCACCCTTTGAAACACGTTCTGAAAAAAAAAAAAAAAATAAATAAAAAAATAATTGAATCGAGCAGGACAGCATTTCGGTTTAACTCATTTTGACTTTTTTTTTTTTTTTAACAAAAGCAGAAAGAAAGCAGGCTTGTGTTTCAGCGCTCCTTCGCTGTACCCTACGCTAAATGACGACAGCAGGGCTTGTCTCCAATGCAGGCCTTTTCCGCTGATTGAATTGCGGCGCTTCTTATAGCTGATAACTAGGCTTCAAATGTTCCACATTTTCGCTCATCAAACATGGTCATAGTAAGGCCTCTATTTAGCTATCTGTTCAGTCCAGTGCTACCTCTCGCATAGGTGTTCGAAGATTGCGGCGCATTCAATAAGCGTCTCGTCCCGCGACCCGCGCGAGATTGAGAAAAGAAAGGCACGAAATAAATATCGGCTCACAAATATCTGCCTACGCATAGCTGGTTGAAAGTTGGGCCCCAAAACTTTGATCTCCGGGTTAGATCTGTCGTGGTGCACGTTCCGTCTTTTGTTCTTTCATCTGACCTTTTCTTCTTACAACTGTCGTGTGCATGTGCATGCATTTCCCTTTGCAAATCAAAATTTTTCTTTGTAGATTGCCAGTTGCCGAGGGCCAGCGCAGAGGGCGGATGAGTGACGAGTGCTGCAGCTGCGTTCGGTCGGGACTCATGTGCAAATCAATTGAATGCACCGGCGCTTCTCTCTTGTCCATGACAAGAAAAACATGGCGTTAAATTCGAGGTTACCTAGAAAGTTTTGTTGAAGCTCCAGGATCAAAATTACTCAAAAAAGTTACCCTATTAAAAGCAATAATAGTACGTAGCACTGGGCACGACGTCAGCGTCACAATTACTCAAAAAGTTGCCCTCTTAAAAGTAATAATAGTACTTTGCACTGGGTACGACGTCAGCGTGATAAACTTCGTGCATGAAATTGCATCATACAACCTTCCTTTCAAATAAAATTGATTTCCTTTACTTAGGTCACCAAAGCCAGGCAACCCGTCTGGCCTTGTCAGTAGGTAGTTATTTGCGTTAAAAAACACGGCGATTATGTAGTCCCTCAGAAAACCTTTCAGGTGAAGTCGAGCGTGCACTCACAGTCCTGGCTATAATAAACAGACGACACATACGTGTTATCCTTCTTGAAGAACTCGTTCTAAAAAGTTCGCTTAGATCAACTTTGTTCACTCAATATTTTTTAGGAATTTTGAGCTTTGAATTTAATGCAATATCAATACAAGAGTGCAGAAAATGGTGTCGGACACATTTCTTCGACGAACCCAATAAAGTAGCCGCAGCAACAAGCGCTCACGCGTTGGGGCCCTTCCTTTCTGCCTAGCCTTGCGAGCCACCCAGTGCACCCTGCTTCGCGAATAAAGAATATTATTATCATTTAATTACAAAGTAACTGGATATATCTATATTTGTGTATGTATGAAAATATGTCATTTGCAGGGATAACAAAAATCAAGCACTCATGCCGTCCCTCGTTGCAAAAAAAAAAAGAACACTCCACTATGTGTGATAGGTTTTTCAGCCCTTATAACGTTTATGGTAATAATATTCTAGTAGTGATTCCGTGTGCTCTCTCCGTAGACTTAAACAATTGGCTCCCCCATGTATATTCCAGAGAAGCAGATGCACTAAATTTGCTAGTGAGCATGGATCTTTCCCGTTTCATATGTCCGGCCTGGTTTGCATACAATCTGTCCGGGACTTGGGGAAAGAAGTATTCGTGTGCGCCGAGTTGGTCTAATTGAAGAGACCTGGGTGACCGCGATGGCTCCCCCCTGATTCTTTGACGGGTGGGAAAGAAGGAGCATGGTGCTCGACTCTGATTGGTTTCGGTTAAGTGGTAGATTGTATGATCACAGGGGTAGGCGAGGAGGAATGAGGTAGCCGAGGAGGAGTTCGACCTTCAGCCTAAACTGAGGGAGAAGTGTTCGAGAGTTCGGGTGTATGGAAGGCTCTGGAAGATCGCCAAGTTGATCAATCTGATTATCTGTAGTATCACTTCAGTCTAGAGTCAACTATGAAGTGTTTACGTGGTACGCGTTAAACTGTGATGAAGAGCGCCGTGAACGCAGGCGTCTGGCGTTTGGAAACTCAGCGATCGCTAAACGTTTGTGATGCTAGAACGTTTTAAACATTGAAAACAATTGATTTGTCATACTATTAATGCGAAAGCATTAGCCATTTCATGAAGTGATGCCGGCGGCGTCTGTAACCACGACAAAACGTGCAAAAGATTCCCAGCGAAACAGCACCGAGATAGCCATTGACCACAGAGAAGCATTCTTGAACAAAAAGTAAGGGCGCAAACGAGCTGGTGTACATTGCACATGGTTGAAAAAGCATTCTCCCCGGCGATGCGGCCCGGATGCCCCTAAAAAGGAGAGGGTGGAGTGCGCGTGGCCCTCGCTCTAATGTCAGGCGTTGCAAGGGGGGGGGGGGGGGGGGGGGGGGGGTGCGGCTGCTTCGCCTCCTCTCGGTGTCGAGGATCATACCGACGCCTGAGGCATCTACAGGGTGATTCAAGGAGACGCCAGGCTCTTTAAATCGACCGCACAATTCGGTTTCTTAACCTATCGCGCTACGACTTTGTGCAGCGTTGCCCGCAGATGGTGCATTTTTTTTTTTTTTTTGTAAAATTTGGAAAGAGCGAACTTACCTGAGGAAAAAGTAAAGAAAGAAAAAGGCTTAGCTCCTATGGAAACGCAGCGAAGCCATCGGTCTTCAAACAACACGGCGCCGTTTCGCACGGTAGACAAAAGATGTCGCAAGCGGTCGCGACGCCAACTGCCGCCAACGAACGAGCATTCGACGCCGAGAGCCGGCGTCTTTAGCAGACAAGTAACTGCAGTTCCTTGTTGTTACCGCGCCTGTTTTTGTTTATGCGACTGTCGCCGCCTGCGGAACACGCGCTGCTTTTGAGTCGAAAAGATCGTCTGCTAAAGACGCTGGCTCTTGGCACCGTATGCTCGTTCGTTGGCGGCGTTCTTTGCGCCATCTCTTGTCTCCCGTGCGAAACGGCGCAGTGTTGTTTGAAGACCGGTGGTTTCGGTGCGTTTCCATAGGAGCTAAGCCTTTTTCTTTCTTTACTTTTCCCTCAGCTAAGTTCGCGCTTTGCAAATTTTACAAAAAATTGCACCATCTGTGGGCAACGCTGCACAAAGTCGTAGCGCGATGGGTTAAGAAAGCGAATTTCGCGGTCGATTTAAAGAGTCTCGCCTCTCCTTGAATCACCCTGTATATCGGCGGAGGACGCTACCTCGGCAGTAGCGAAACACGACCGTCCACGCCAGTACACCGTAGTGGAACTAAGCAAGCCAAATAACGACATTCATGCTTTAAAATTCACAACTCATCAGAAGTGGTTATGTCTCCTCGGTATTTTTTTACACATTTGTACTTCTCGATGAACCCACAAGGTACTGCAGTTTTTCGCAGTGTTAAGGCTGTGGAAGACGCTGAGCTTTTCTGTTCGAACCACTATTCTTACAACCATGAAACATATTTACCTGCCAGGGCACTCCCCCGAAGACTATCATGAGGAAGTTGTCGACGTAGCTAGGCACCTGCCACGGGAGAACAGTCCCGAGCCACTGGTCCGGCGGCAGGCTGCCCAGGGGCCTTAGGTGCTCGTTGCTCATGGCGAATGGAACCGAGGCCCACTGAAAGCCTACGGTCGTCAGCAGCAAAATCCTTGCTGAATACAACCGTCTATGGGACGCAGGTTTTGGCAGCTATTACCCTCATCTAAAGAGGGCATCGGTCAAGCTCTGAGCATCCAAATGTCACCGGAGTCGAAACTCTAAGAGTATTGAATAGAAACCTGGAAATATCGGTACACGGGGAACGATTTGTGGCTCTAGTCGAATTTCTTTTTTTTTTTTTTTTCCCCACGGCTGCAACCTAAAGTTTGTTTTCGTAAGCCGCAATAGTCAGTGGGGAAAATAGGACGCAGGGTATAACCCCAGAGCATTGAATAAGAGGCTGCCTCAGGCGGCTGCAAGTTAGGTCAGCTGGAAACTAAAATGGTCAAGTTCGGACACATCATAATACGGAAAGATTTGACACAAGTGCTCCGTCATAGTGCAAATGGGCACTAGGACGTTCGAGCTTAAGCTTTAAGATCAGGCTCAATGACTGATGTCGCGGGCCGTCTTAGCTTTCAAGGAACTCCATATATGTGTAGGTTTAGAAAGAGTTATATACGTAAAGACAGGAGACGGGACAACACATCTTGTGGTGTCCCGTCCCCGGTCTCGGCTCCCGGGGCCTTGTCTTGACCCCTCCTTTCCCTTCCCCCTCCTTTTAACTTTCCCTCTCCTGGAGTGGAGCTCCGAAGTCGAAGCGTCCGGCAATAAATCATTAGTTTGTTGAAAGTTGAAATATTTGTTGTCCCGTCCCCTGTCTTTACGTATATAACTCTTTCTAAACCTACATCATTACCAACGCGCTCACTAACAAGTGTAACTCCACATAATAGGCCTCAATCTGCCCAAACTAATTTCATTACCTGGTCGGTTCAAGCAATCGGCTTCTGCACGCAGTCTTTTTTGTCTGCTGGGCTGTGAGACGCGTTAAGTGCATGAACGCGACGATCTGATGAAGTCGATGAAGCAGCTCTAAAGGTGCATTATGGTGGCGGTTCTGTTAGCGATATAGCTACCACAAGCTATACCAGTCACGCAACCAAAATATTAAAAGAAGCGCAGAATCGCGACAGGTTCAATGTGCGTCATTGGTTTAGTCGGAGAGAGCGAACGCAAAAAAAAAAAAAAAGTTGAGCGCCGTGACGTTTCACTTCTGTTATTAACATGCAGCGGAGTACGAGGAGCGCCATTTTGTCTTAATCTTTTGCAGGAGTTGTGGTTATGTTAAAACGCCGAGCTCTGACTGGCCTTGAACGGAAAGACAAAAGGTAGACCACAAAGCAGTCTGTTTTGAGGTCTCTCAACTATCTTTCGATCCGAACCACAGTTCGGCGTCTCTCTCACGTTGCCAAATCCCCTGTAAACGAAGCAGACGAACTTGCTCTCCGGATATCTCCCCTCTGGGTTATTCTAACACGCGCGCATGCTCGCACAGCCCAGTCGCTCAGCATTTTTAGCCTGTGCGTGAAGATCTGGAGAGGTTTGTAGATTTCCGCCGCCAACGTTGACGCTTCCCTGCGCAGTCGGGTAATGCGGGATCTCTCACCAGACCGACGAACATGAGCACGAGCTGCAGGACGTCGGTGTACGTAATTGAATACAGTCCCCCGACGCAGGTGTACAGCATCACCACCGAGGCGGCGACGAGCACGCAGGTCACGTGCCCGAGACCCGTGATAACGCTCACCGTGGCGCCTGCGAAGTATCAGATGACTTATGTAAGAGCGTGAACGCTGTCTGTACAAATATTTGCGTTTCAACGCGATGCATTCAGTTGCGGAAGGCGGAGGGCGTCTGCGCAAAACTTGTTCGTATAATTGCGTTTAAACTCGGTCTTCCGTATTCAAGAACCAATAAGAACGCGCTATCGTCTCTTGCTACTCAAAGGAAGTAAGCGAATCCACTCTCAGAAAAAAGTTGTAGTGTTACACTTTGTATCCAACATAGGCAACCTGCCATGCTGTTTGGTTTGGTGCTATCTAGCGACTGAAGACAGAAACATTGGGTGTGCCTGGGAGTGGCGACTGCATTGTTCAAATGTGAGCTATTACTCTGGTGGCGCCACTTAACTTAGTGTCTGAGCAAGAAATTATGGTAGGCCAGGAAGCCGTGATCGCATAACTTGCCAGTACGGCGGAAGCTACGGCCACGGCTGGACAATCGGAACGTGACCACGTATTACCGGAGTGCGCTTTTACTGCGATGAAGCGTCAGGCTTTTTGCGCAAGCATGATATAATATGTGTGCTTTTCGCTCGTATACACAAAGCATATCGAAGCCGTCGCCACGCAATGTGGGGTTCATCGTTAACCGTTTGCCAAGTTATAACGAGACAGGGTATAAGCGTGGGTTCTCACTCTGTTGGCGCCGTCTGGCTGGTACAGGCTGGCTATAATACACGCCGAAATTTCAGTTCGCCGTACAGCGCACTGACATCAAACTGACGGCCGTAACGTTTGGCGAAGGGCTTGATAACTCTGAAAATATAACTTATTAAACCGCTAAAATACGTATGAAAGCCTACAAAAACAAACAAACAAAAAACACTGCAGTTTTTCAAGAGGCCAAGGTAACACCGATTTTTTTTTTTGTAGTCAGTAACAAGTTCATTAGCTATTTCAATAGGTTGTTCCACTCGGCTATCAAGCCACTCATGAAACTTTGGCACCGTCGGTTTGACGTTAGTTCGCTCTACGACCAACTGAAATTTTGGGGTGTATTGTACGAAACAATGGGTTTGACGCTCTACCCTTTTTCTCGACATGACAGACCTTGGGAAAATGCCACTAGTTTTTGCAACGTAGTTCAACTTGAACCATGGCAGCCTTGAAGACATTTGCTACCTTGTCCTCGCCGCTTTCCAACAATCAAGAGCAACAACCGGAAACGCGTCACCATTTGGCGCGGTCGAGCACGCGAGCGTCCCTTTCTTTTCTCGGCTTCCGATTGATCTGCCGCAACGCTCCGTGAGCGCTGTCGCCTTAACATTTTGCCTAGGATTGTAGGCTGTTGAGTCGGCCTGGTGTGTGCTGCACGACGGTGATCGCCAAACCGGAAGAAATCACTCCCTGTCAAAAGGACGCCGTTCCGTCCGCATACAAATTCAAATGAAAGTGTGTGCATGGGCCTGACATAAATAACCGCACCACAGTGGTCATTATGGTCTTCATCGTCTTAACTGACGCAACTAAATTTGGAAAAGCACTTTAGATTAGCAAATATTTGGCCTTCTCGACGCTTAAAAATATAATTGCCAGTCATTTTGAAGCGTCATTTGATCGCCCAGAAGGCGAGCTAATATTCTCCAGATATATTAAATCAGTTCATGTCAAAGCAAAGCGATTTAGCCCGAGCTTCCTGATACTGTAGAGCCAAAACAGAGGACGTCGCATTCCATATTTTTAAGTAAGGCCAATTGTGCTCGTGCTGCAGTAGGCAACCAAAGGGGCGGCGCCCGTTCGACAGCCCTCGAATCGATTGCTCACACACCAATCGTACACTTTTTCGTGACTCTAAACTCCACGTGGGGGCTATCGAATGTGGCTAGAAGTTGCTCTGACTTCAGGTGTGTCAGAGCAACTCAAGTCAGAGCAACTTGAGAAGTTGCTCTGACTTCAGGTGTGTCAGTGAACGGCCGCACCCTATCTTGCACCGACATTTTTTATCAGCATTTATGCAGGCTTACTCCTCTGTCTTCCTTAATATACAACTCTTAACATTTTAGCGCGATGGATTCTCCCGAATCCACGACGTCTTCGGTAATTCTTTTTTTCGCCAAAACACGCGCAGGAGTCCATAGCACGCATACTGGAGACTAGACATGGGATTCCGCCACTGAATCAGATAACATTGCTCGGGTGCATGATTACGGAGTGGAAATCAGCTCCGATTCAAGATTTGATAATTTTTTTTTTCGATGTAAGAGACAACTAGTAGAATTCAACATGACCGCTAACTTGTGATATTGGGGTTAGAGATATAAGAAGAATTGTGTGTGAAAGACCTGGGCATTAGAGAAACTATAATTTCTGAGTATACCGTTGTAGCTACCATTGCGCCCGCTGATAAGCTGGATTATGTTCACACCATACTCACTCAATATAATGAAAATGATATATAAATTATGCTACTCAACTACTGAGGCATTGTTTGAATAAAGTTCACTCTAATTTTTTCATATTATTTACTGATGTCTCTAAGCACCCTTGATAAAGTTCAAATATTTGTTCGTTTCAAGTAGACTGTGATAATATTATTACTTTTACAGACCCAAAAGAAAACATTCATTTTATAACAATGTTGGTGTAGAAGATGTGAATTGCTTTACCATTGATTGATTCTTTATGCCTATATTGCGGGAGAGAATCTATTTGTATTTTAGATGAAAAACTATACACTTGAAAGCTAACCTTATAAAACTGCATTCGCGGAAGGAAGCACACCTCGCCAGCGCGCACCCTCATAATGTGGCAGAGCATTTTTTAACGTGTATTTGAAGCAGTCTTCGATGCTATTTTAATTCGTCAAATAGAAGCCCCGAGATTCGCAGGTCAGGAGGGCTTTGTTTTTAATGCTAAGAACGCGGTTCGTTGCTCCTCCAGTGGTTGATGCTATTAGAATAAACGTATGGTGTTGACCTGTTATAGAAAAAAAATGCTAGATTACCGAGCGGAGACTGCTCGAAAAATGAAGGGCAAATCCACACTGATCAATCTGATACTTAAACCTAGCAGGCGCGGTGAAAGGTTACACAAACTTGTTTTAGAAATCTCGTCATAGCAGACTCGTCTAGAAAAGATATGTGAATTTCCTTGTGAGGTATTCGTGCTAAAAACAAAAAAAGCCACACAAAGCAAATTGTTCCCTAAAAGCAGTCATATGTGGTCTACATCCGGTAAGTTACGTACATCCCGAAAATCCCACACAATATCCGTTTCATCGAAGGACAAGAAAATACAGTGGCTGACGCACTATTCCTGATTGCGGTCAACACCATTCCGCCCTAGCGCCCTTCCATTTACTCCAAATCTCTTCCACTTGCACAGCAGAACGATACAGCACTTAGGCGCATTCGAGGCTCCTCGTTGAATGATGTTTACCATGCTTCTCACAGCCCCTCATTTTTGCTGTCTCTGGTCCAGCGCCTCGACATTACATACCGTCTGAATTTCGTTCGATAGCCTTTAATATGGTACACTGCCTCTTCATATAGGCATCCGAGCTACCACTCGACTGGTCTCAACACGCTACGTGTGGCCGAGCATAAATGCAAATGTTGACGTTGAATGGAATCATGCGACATATCTAATAACGTTCAAAGATTGATCGTGATACAATTGCACCCTTTGGCTGCCTTCACACCACATGACGTTCTCTTTGATCACGTTTATCTAGATTTAGTCGGACCCCTTCCTCCATATGGAGGTTGGCAGGGCCTCAGCACGTGCATGGACGGTGTTTCACAATGGCCCGAATTTATGGCTATCCCAGACATCTCTGCAGAATATGTTGGCCAAGCCTTCCTAACTACATGGTTTAGCCGTTATTGTGTACCATTAAGAGTCAAAGTTGACCAATTAAGGAAATTTCAATATTCTTTCATGAACAACTTTTTCCATCTCTTACGTCGCCATCATATCAACACCACCCCTTAGCTCCAAGCAGCTGATGACATAGTGAAAAGATTTCATCGACAGCTGAACAATTATGCTCGGACTTCGCACAGTGATTAATGAGGTCTTTTGCTGCAGTGTCGCAAACCTCGTTTCTGGGACAACCCTGTGTTTATTTGAGGATCTTCAGAGCTCAGCTCCTAAGGCGCTCGTTCCCTGGTCACGCGGTGGCAGCGTCGCCGCAGCAGTCTGAGTTACCGCTCGCATTGCATTGTGGGACGTCGCAGACCTGTACACCAATTCAATCCAATATATATATATATATATGTATAGGTGAGGCAGAGTAGTTTCAGAACAACAGACCGGGAAAATGTAATAGGTCAGAGATTTGTACTTGCGGAGTTTCTATGCTAGGAGTTTATTGTATGTATTACGACAGTTTCGCCGAGAGGTTCGGCTTCGTCAAGAGGTGCATGCTCTCCTGACGAAGCCGAGCCTCACGGCTTCGTCAGGCCAAATCGTGCAACCAACCACTGCTGCGCTGTCATCGCGCGACGCAGCAGAGGCTGGTTGCACTATTTCCCCACAAGGCACGGTGCCGCCGGGGCCCAGATGCGCTCCGATAGCAAACCGAAACTTAAAAACCCGTCGAATTCGTGCGGTTTTTCAGAAAGACGTAAAATGCTTCGCGTGCCTTCTATCGCGCTGCAATTTGTTGATTTAGCGTTTTTCGGCGATCCTGAGCAATTTTCTAATTAAAACCATGCCCTTAAACACAATGTTAAAAAAGTTAATTACGCAAAAATAATTAAAAACTTAATTATTTCGGACTTTAATAATTTTCCTATATGGGCCCCTGGCCAGGACCAAAACGCAGCAAGCCTTTTTTGTTGCGATGAGTAGTTTTCGCAGGAGCGATTTGGCCTGAGTTTTCTGAAACACCCTGTATATATAATGCATATTATATACGCAGGTGTACGAGGTCAATATTTGTACACAAATGTGTTTTTCTGAAATTCTTTAACACTGTATATCCCGAAATAAAAATAAGTCAAGAGCTGCGGTCTAATTTCGCATTACAAAGATTAGTAAACGTCTTTCAATTTGTTTGGTCCTTCCTTACAGGCATTATTGCCTTACCCCCTAACTACTCTCACCGGCTTCGTGCAGCAGCGATAACCATTAAACTATGTATTACGACGGCGCAATGCGAACCCCTCGCTTTTCCCAGTTACGACCTCGTACACTTTCCTCGCGCCTTTGTGCGTAAGGATGCTTTTCGAAAGACCCCATCAACATTCCTGTGATGGCCCATTCAAGATGGTTCACAAAAGCCAAAAGCGGTCTATCCGGACATCAAAATCAAGCAGAAAGTCATCTCCATAGACCGCCTCAATTGAGCCTACATCGATAAGACCATCGCAGATAGGCTGGCTTAAGGTGTATCCACCTCTACACCGGGCAATTTATGTCCAGCCAGACATTCTAAAAGAAGGGTTCGCCTTCTAGCTACATCAACATAACACTCGCCATCAGCTTGTATTGCTCAAGGATCCTTGAAGGCACCTCAGAACTAGGGAAAGAGCTTGTAGCGACAAAGAACACAAAAATAGAGGGTGCGTTGGTTGACCACCCCACCATCCGCTTGTCACAAAAGATAAGTGATCCCACACATTCGTTAATCAAAAAAAAAAAAAAAATGTATGTCTAATTTTTGAAAAAGTAAGTCAGTTTTCGTTGCCTTACTTCTGCTTCAACTTTTTTTTTTAAGGACAAGTCCACACTGGGCGAAAATTAGATGGGCGCCGCACGCCGGATGAAGAGTCTATTTTCTGGTACGAACTAGCTAGTTTCCAGAAAAGAGGGTTTGTAGAAAAGAGACCTCTTTTTTCCGAGTCTTTGTGACGCTCTGTCCTCGGTAAAATTGTAACGAAATGCAAGCCATAATTTGAAGTTCACTGTCAGTTCTTTTTTCGCATAGCAGATCTACAAGGAACTCAAAAGACCCCGGTAGTACACTTTTCACACCGATGAGGTATGGTGATTAAAAGCATCTGTGCAACTTGTGTGTCCACGGCGTTCGCATTTGTTCTCCACGATTTCCGTCTGAGGACGCCACTTAATTGTCGTGCCGTGATCGTTACGCTGACACAAACCTCAAGGTGTATATGCCACATGCTTGTTCTGCTCAAGGTACCTCTCCCGCCTTACAATTCGCGGAAACTTCAGCTGTCACGAGTTGTGACGCCGCGGTCACAGGCAAATTTGTGCTCGCATTTGATTTTTGCCAAAACCTCGACGACGAACAACGTGAATGGTGGCATCGAACTGCATGACGCACTGCCTGCTCTGATGAAAATTGTTGCCGCTTCGGAACAAATTTTCGTGAACGGGCGGAATAGGACGCTTACAAACTAGTCGTCCGTGTAGCAGTATTTACTCGCTCTTACTCTGGGGTAAGGGTTTTGTACCTTAGCGTTAAAAACCTAAACGCGTAAAGCGCTTTTCAATCTGTGTTGTCACGTACTTGACCCGCCTGTGTAACTCTAATCAATTTGGGTAAGATTTCGAACACACATAAAAAGACGTGTTTTAGGCAGCGCAATTGAGGAAAAGGGCCTACCTAGGGCATTCAAGATGGCGCCGCACCAGAAGATCTCTCCCACCAGAGCCGGGAGAAACAGCAGCGCCGCCACCCGGCTGCCGAATGCCTTCTCCAGCGGGTCGAGCAGAGTAACGTATCCGGAACGCCACATGGGGCCCGAGAAGAACGCTCCAACTGCACGCGCACGCGGTGAAGTGTTTGCGTCAATGGAAGGCACGATCACTGTTGTGCAATAAACTCTTAGGGATACGTGCGAGAGGCACAACGTATGATGACAACATTCTTTATTTCCTCCCCGCCCAAACAGCGCTACTACATCACACCGAAGGAAGCAAAATAGAAATATATCTTCTCATTTTCAAGATGGGATCGTCTCTGTTGGTTATTATTACATAAATACATAAAGCTACCATATATTTCCCTGGGATGTGTTTGATTTCATGACTACGTTACCATGCTGAGTTTCATGCGCTGAAATCTTGGCGGGATATCTGGCGGACGCTGTGATTTTAATATCAGGAGTAAAGGTTTGTAGTTTGTTGCCATCATAATGTTTATGCCACAGATGTTGCCTCAGATTTACTTGCAACGGATTTCTTGCAATTTTTCTGGTGGATTTATTTATAATATACCTGAAGCTGCAAGGAATTTCTCTGGGATATGCTTGATCTCGCGTGACCACCTTTTTGTGCTAAGTATCATGTGCTGTACGAAACTCTGCGATGTCAATATCGGAAGCAGAGGTTTTGGTTTGTATCCAACAAAATATTTACGCTTAAAATGTTATCTCAAAATTATTTACAACCCCATACTACGGCTAGTCCATGGTTTTCAATTTGGGTGGGGTATAAATCAGTTTTGTGTATTGTTCAGAATGTAGAAGTCAAGGACTTATACTTTTCATCATCTTCCTTTTTAGAAACTACTGCCCCAGTCATGAAGAATGAGGCATCGGCATGTTATAGTACCAAAATGTTCGGGGGTTAAGAACGAAGGCAAACGAATTTTCGTCTAACCTTGCGGTTTCCTCTTTTGACATTTTTTGTCTTATTGAGACTTGTTTATGTCAAGAAATTCTTGATTAAATTTTTTTTTTTTTGTCACATTACACTGTATTTCGCCGGGACCGCAACTATGGCGCCACTGGTCAAAGATTCGGCGGAGAGGTGTTAATTGAAGCTTCGAGCAAGTTAAAGGCGATCCGCAGAAGTTACCTTGAGACATTTGAGGAGTGCATATGGCTTGAGATTTTACTACGCAACCGTTCTAATTATCCTATAGAAAACTAAAATTTCCCGCCTGAATCGCAGTGCGCACCTTTTATTTCACACTTTGACGCTTTGACAAAGGGAACTGATTTTAGCAAATTCGAAGTGCAAATATATGGCGACTTTAACCTTCCGGGCGTAGAATGGACTATTGGCACTTTTAATCGTTGTGATTACCTTACAGAAACCAACGTTACTTAGCTTCTCCGACTGTCACTGTCGATTTTCATGGGCTTTCCCAGCACAATGATCTCACGAATGCTGCAGGCAATAGACTTGACTTGCTTTTATCGAGCTGTTCATTAGCACCTTGACGGCTTCGTCACAACCTTTAGTAGAGGCTGATGTCCATCACCCGCCCTTCCAGTTCAAATTCTATTTGCCTTGCTTATCTTGAGAACTTGCAAAATTCATCTACTGCTATCAAAACGGAGAAGACTTGAGCCTGTTCAAGTATATAGAATCATACGATTGGTCTGAGCTATATGTTCAAATGATGCTAATTTTACGGCCAGAGAATTGACGTCGGTTATGAAGGAAGCTATTGACAAATACGTACCTAAGAAGCTTGTTAAACCTACTAAGTTTCCCAGCAGGTTTTCCACGGAACTGAAGATTGCTTTACGAAAAAAGTATAGTTTTCATGGCCTATTCAAGAAAACATGCCAGCAAGTGTGGTACAATAAATTTAGCAACTTTCGGTCGTTAGCTAAGATTCTGCACGCGCCTGATAAACAGTTTTATGAAAGACGTGTTGAAAACAGTTGATATTTTGACCCCAAATGTTTCTGAAAATTTGTAAACTGAAAAACCCGGTCGTTTTCCCATCATTCATCGCTTCGTTCTATTTGTGACGGTGCGGTTTGTTATATTTCTTCGCCTAAAGACATCGCCGAGGAGTTTGCCTCATTTTTTAGCAGCTGTTATTCATCGCCCACTCGGTTCGTGAAATCAGACCGAGTGAATGACCCCAGTGATGGTGACTCTCTCTCTCAGTTTTGTGCTACTACATGTGACGACGTCGCGGCGATAAAAAATCTAAAGCCTAAATTGTCGGGTGGTGCTGACGAAATTCCACTTTTTATGATTAAAGGCTGCTCTGGGCTAATAGCCCTCGCACTAGCTCATATTTTAACGTGTCATTGCGTTCCTGTATTTTTCCCGCGATATGGAAAAAAACGAAAGTGGGGCCCATTCATAAAAAGGGCAATGCCCGTATTGTGTCAAATTACCGCCCTGTCTCACTTTTTGCGATTTCGGTAAAATATTTGAAACCATAGTGCAAAAATGTCTTTTCTCCCATTTATCAAAGTATCTTACGCATCAAGAGCATGGCTTCATTAGAGGACATTTCGTTGAAACTAACCTTTGTACATTTCTTCATTACGCAGCCGCGGTCGTTTCAAAAAGTGGTCAGATTAAATCGATTTACTTGGATCTTTGGAAGGCTTTTGATAGGGTTGGTCATTTTTTGCTTGTACGAAAATTGTAACAATGAGGTATTGTACCTAAGCTTTGTGGCTGGGTTTCTATTTATTTTCCATCTCCTTTCATAGATATTAAAAGTCCGTTGTCAATGGCGCCTCTTTCCTGTACCTGTCGTCTTCCTACCGTGTTCTTGCTGTATTTTTCGCTTTTCCAATGAAAAGTCGAAAAGTCAGGATTAGGCTTTCCCTCCAACATTAATTTCGGCAAATAAACAATGCCAACATTAAGTTCGGCAATTGATATATGGCACATTTGGCTGATATCTAGCATTGCGTCAATAATGTGGCAAGCCAGAAAAAGGGCATAAAAAACCTTCAAGGAAAATATTGTTAGGCTCTACTTAGGCGTCACTGGGATTGTTTAGCTTGGGCCCAGGCAGGCGTTTCTCAAACAGGCTTCCTGAAATCATGGGGACATTTCGCCTTTTAACGATCTTTATTAACGAAAAAAAAAACATTCTAATTCTGTAACACACGAAAACAAAACAAAAGGTATTGTATCTGCACAAAGATTTATCATGTTGAGCATTCTCACATGATGACGAATTCCATTAAAGCGTCCCTAAAAATATGCGTTCAATTTCAAGGTCGTAGACTGACAGGCGGAGACCCCGTTCATTTATTTTTACGTTTCCAGAATGTCACAGTAGACCCTGCAAAGCCGTATAGTTTTCAACTCTGTTAGTCTTTCTTGGCTGGACCTCTTCTGGACCCGTCTCGGTGTTGTCAGGTTCATGGACCCATGAATGCGTTTTGTCCCTTTAGAATCGCTGTATCATGAGCTTTCGCATTTATTATTAAAAATATAATTCGCGTGTTACGGACTTCAAAAACAACATCCCAGGTTTGTGCACCTGTGGCATAAACAACTCCAAATACGCCTCCTCTAAAGCATATGCGGCCACTTGCTTGACGTGGGTGAAGCTTCGGCAAGCGTTTGTCAAATGACAAGGTTTCTGAGATAATATGCACTTTATACTACAAGCTGGACACCTGTCTTTACCCTGGTCTACATGGTGCAATTTTGCTTCCGCTTTCGCGGGTGCTGCGTTGAGGATCGCATCTTCCAGTACCCCTCATCGCCAGACGAGCAAGGTCGCACTTGCGAAAGAGAATTTAAAATTGCACATGCGAATCAGACATTCAGAGTGTTTCTTCCTGCCACAGCAGAAACATGACAGCAGTGTAGTTTACACGAACGAGGCCTCACTTGACGAGCTTGTCTTCAACGTTTGGACGTTCTTGATGTTTCGATGCCACAATGAATAGCTTTTTCGTTTGTTTCCAAGTTTATATTGTTGGGCCACCATGCTTACTGGCTCTAACGTCAACTGCGCGTCAAGATAAATTTCCTCGGTTCGCTTTTGGTCCTGGAATCGCACGACAACGACGGCGCAGGTAATATCGTCATTGTGAAGCTCAAAGTTACATTAATTTCAGGAGAATTTAGGTCTAAAATTTAGGTCTAAAACAAAATAAACAAACGTGCTAATGTTTTTTTTTTCTTACCTGAATGAAATTGATTTTGGTGATAAATGAGCGAGCGTCAAATTATAAAATGGTTTTCATAACCGTTTTTGCCTAAATCTTATCTCAATAAAAGCTACTCAGCAAGCCAATCGGAGGGTTGAATATAGTGTGCTTTCTCTTCCGTGTAGCATAATAACGTGTTCAACTTTTTGCAGGATTCATATCAAGTCTACGGACACCTCCGTTTTTTTCATCGCACTGGAATCAACGACTCCAGTCTTCGGATGTGGTGCTGTTCAGAGGATCTGGTAGTTAACAGGCGAAATGAGGGAAAGCCATTATGAGCAAAGTGGTTTCAAGTTGTCTATTGAATATTCCCGCCGATTTGGGTAACGCCTGGACATATAACACTTTTAGGACTTCTAGGCAGCTAGAGAGACTTGGGGATATTTTCCATTGGTAACTATTGTGAAAACCGTCGAAACCTTGAAGCATTCATAGCCGCTGCATTAATAGCGAACCACCATCCATAATGCGTGATCAATTTATTTAATTAATCTTCCTTACCGCTCTTTTCAAACATGCAAATACCCACCGAAGAGGAGGCTGAGGGCAAAGCACACCGGGGCTTGGCACCAGAGAACGCCCCTCACGGCGGTTTCCTCCACAATGCCGCTGAGCAGACCGCCGTCGACCCAGGTGGCTGCGCAAAGGCAAACACAATAAAAGTTCACTCCTCTGCTTTATGTGGCATAGCAGTAAGTCACTTTGATGGAGCAAAGTCTTTTAGAAAACTAAGACTTCAACACTAGTGCCTTCTGAAGACTTTTTGTTTACTTTTCAATTTAACGCCAAAACGCATGTCTGCTTTGGACTTAGTAAACTTCCGCGAGACGCTACAGGCAAGGTGTCACGCCTGATATGCGACATTTTTGCTTTTCTTGTAAATTTAGCGAAAATCCTTGCTCGATAAATTTAACGTAACGTTAGGAAGAACTTTTGCTTCAATATGCGGCACTTCAATCTGTGCATATTATTACCCTGATAAATTGGTGCATGCCGATGGACATATATAGTTCGTGCAGAATTATGAACGTTAAAAGTTTGGTACTAATTCGATTTGTGTATCATATCTACCGCGAGAAATAGAGTGCATATTCAGCCCTGACAATTGCAATGTGAGGATTGGTACAGGGGCGAACCCAGCGAGGAAAGGACGAGGCTGCTTTTGGGGCTGAATAAATTGTTTGAATTATTTGGAGACGAGGCGAATATTGTGAAAGAGAAGGCACTGTTATCAGTTAGGAGTTGGGAAACCGAACAAAAGTAGATGATTTTAAGACGGTCGCGGAACTAGAAATGAGTCATAAGCGTGACGTTTCTTGTTCTCGAATAAATTCGAGAACTTTCATAAAGTCGCCTGTAAGCTTTTTCGTCAGTTCGTATCTCCCCAAGACACTCCAAATTTCGAGCTCACGATGGCAAAACCAAAAGTAAAAAGAGAAGATATTTTTCTAATAAAGTTTGAAAGAGCACAGGGTTAGTGGTCCTGATGCTTCAGTTTATTTTTTTTTAATCTAGGGCTATTCACAACATACAGTTATACCTTTATCTTGTCGAGGTTCGTTAGCTACAATGCATCAATGTGCCTCCGGGCCACGGCGAAAAACAGCCTTCCCATTTTATAGGGTGGAGAAGGGCAGCTGAAGCTCTATGCTTCTGAGTAATATGTGCAGGAGTTTGGCCCGTTCAAAGTGCCAACGTTTATTGAAGAACACGTCTTTGCAATGTTTGTCGTGGGAGAATTGGAATTTTCAATCACAAGGGCGGCTATGCCAAATGCAGCTGCAGACATATTTTACGATGTTCTTTAGTTTTTATTAATTTACTGTACGTTTTCAACAGGACATTATATAATCTAATTTTCAAGTTTGAGAATTTGGGAAGTCTGTCTTTCGCCGAACTGGAAATCTAACAAAATTAAACTCCGACAAACACCGATAAATACCATATTCCCAGCAATATATAAACTAAATAAGAAAACATTCAGTTTTATAAGAAATGAGATTCGAAAAATGGAACTCTAGTCATAAAAGGAACAAAACCTTGCCAAGACAGAAAGGGGCGACTGAAAGTGTGTTTTTCACCAAGCCCGCGAAAAACAAAACAAATATAATACATTTTTTTCAGTTCATTGTCACTTCGTCGGGTATAGTGCGCCGGAAGTAATTTTGTGTAACATAAGAAATGAGTGGAAAACTGAAATACGCTTTTGATCATTCTGCTAATTGTTTAAGGCTTTCTTGATAATGTAAAACGATCAACCTCAAAGGGGGCCAACTTCAAGTCGTAAATAATCTTGTTTTCATTCTTCAGAAAAAAACATTGTCAGCATGGACGCGACTGTCTGTGTCGGAGGTCAATGTCTTGATTTGTAACTTTTCTTTAGGTTCTTGTTTACGAGAAACAGGCGGTATCGTGACACTCTGAGCAAAAAAGATGCAATATTTTCTTTCGCTTGTTTACCTTTTTACATTAAGCTAGTGTCATACAATGCTGCAATCTGGTGAGATGCCCACAATCCGTGCACCAAACAGAAGGTTCAATTCGACACTCCCCGACAGCCCGTAAAAATATAACGTGAAAATCGCAGATGCTGTACACGGGCTAACGCTGTGGCGTAGTGAACCCTAGAGATGCTTCTTTTACGAGAATGAAAATTCCAACAGGCGACTGGCGACGCGCGGTCCTTGTGGCTTACCGATGATGGTGAACACTCCGACAACCAGACCAACGCTGCGGCCTCCAAGCATCAGGTCCTCGCTCGGGTTTGCGCTGCGCCCCCGATCTAGCCTCCTCCGAGCGCCCCAGAAGCCCACTGCCACGATGAGCGCGTAGAAGAGGACACTGGTCACCAGGCCTGGCACGCTGAGGCCCATCACGTTTTTGAAGCCTAAAGGAAAAGGGCCAGATTGAAAAGAAAACAACTCGGACAAAGGGTCGCTTTTTGAAAAGAGCACGTTGCTGCTCACAAGGTAAATGGGATTACTTACAGAGCGATGGTGTGTACTCAAAGAGGAGCTCGCGTTCGTTTCTAGAAGGAGGCTCAATATCATTCAAGGTGGTCGTCAAAAAACTAATTAAACATGTGGAATGTTCAAGATGATATACAGATGCTATATATATCCTACGTAAACAAATTGGACAGATATATTTCTGTTAAGTTGGATGGACTATCTTAAGTCTGTAGCTCTAACGAAAATGTCTGCAGAAACCATAAGAAAACTCGCTCTTTCGGGGACAGCTTTGTTTATTTTTGAAGGTGACTTTAGGATATAGACGGAATCCGTTACTAAGAAAACGGTCTGGCGAAAAAAACGTCGGGGCTTTTATTGTATCATTTAACACTTTGGTAGGGTTACAGAGTTCAGTCAATATCCAAGACCAGTTATTTGTTTTATTGACAGACGACTTTAAACGTTTTTTGGCTACTCGTAATTGAATATCAGTTTGCACTTCCTTTTTTTTTTTTACCAGCCTTATTGGTAGTTTTTTTCGCCCTATGCATGAGAGTCTTCCCGGAATATGAAATTGATATATTCTCAAAACATGCCCGCAGCGGGGCTTACTTTATTTCATAAACATTAATGACCCACGGTTTAGCGCCGTACAGGGAATCTTTTGGAGATATGGCAGCCATTTTTTTCACTAATATATTTCTGTATATACGCAAGGTATATAAAATAATAAAAGGTGGATCAGTAGCTTTCTGTGCACGTACAATCATAAAAATCAAAAGAATCACGCAACCTTAACAACTTCTCTTCCGACCATAACTAAAGAACGCATATAAAATAATGGTGAAAATATTTTTAAGGTTTTCACGATCTTGTAGGTTTTCCAAGGGTCTATAGCTTCGGTTCTTAAGAAATAATCAATACAATGCTGCTTTATCTGGTCATTAATATTATCTGTAAATTATCTGTAATTCCTTCTTGGTTTCGCACTACAGATATTATCCGATATTTGTTTTAATATTAAAAATTGTTCAACCTATTTAAATTAGATTGGACTGTTTGCTGCTAATTTGTCGGGTGTTTAAAGGGAAAGCTAAAGGTTTAAACTTTTTTTTTGCATATGTTTATTTAAAGATTAGATGTTTGGTAAAAATACCGTTAAAAGAAAAGTATTGATTCTTTGTTTTTATGTTTGTTCTTACCAGTGTAAAAAATTTCTTATTTCTGAAAAAAAAAGATGTCAGACCATTTTGAGCTGAAGCAATTTTTATTAAATAAACCAGTTTCTTCTAAATTAATAATGGTAGTTACTAGATTTGTTTCAAACATCATTAAATAGTGATTTTCTGATAAGAAATTGTCCGTCGATTTAATCTCAGTGCAGCTCAATTACGAGCCACTCCTGAATGACGTAAAATAGGGGTGTCGGAACATTCGAGTTTAAATTGGAATCGAATATTAATTACCCAATAATTCGATTCGAGTTTCGTATTGCTCGAGTTTTCTAATAATTAAATAAATTTAACATCTTTACTTTTGGCGAAAAGTTCTGGATTATTCACGATGTTGTTATAATGAAAACGTCATCACAGGCCAGTGCGGAATCCAAATCAAGGCTCCTGTCGGAATCCCTGACTAACAAAGCATTTCTGCAGTACATAGTTTGTTTCTTGTGTTCCTCGAACAAAGCAGTCATGCTTCTAGCTTGTTGGATTTGCTCGACAAAGTCCCGTAACCACGCACGCCGCTATTCAGAATTCAAGAATACTGCGTCCCCTGCAGCACACTCCGTGCAGCCTAAACTAATTCATTGGCAAACATGTGTTACAAACAAAAATAATATCAAACGTCGAGAGAGCAGCAGCGAGCGTCGACGGCGGCAGCAGGAAGCGACGGTGCGTCCGCGTGACCGCTGGCTAGCGCCAGAATGAATGAGTCGGGAAAACCACGGTCAGCTCTTTATGTACGACACTCGGTATGTCAAATATTCTAACTAGATTATTGGGAAGTGAGCTGGGGCAAGATTTACTAAGCAATGGCTTTCTGGCTTCCTTATCTATCACACTCGGGGTAAGGATATACCCGACTCTTCTAGATGTACTGTAAAGCGTTCTTGTAGGTCATGCGCACGGCATTTCTCCCCCCTTGAAAACTTCATCGGCCCGTTGCCACTTAAACTACATTAACACAAGCTAAACCAAATAACAGCAATCCGCAAACTACAGGGTCGTCTGAACATAAACTTATACTCATTCATATCGAGCGTAAGACGGCTTGAGGCGCACGAGGTGCACCACTTCGGGTCGCGGCTGGCGAAGTCCTGACGGCCGTGTTTCCCCCCGCAAGCACCACGTAGTTCAGGACTCCGAGGCTACAGAGCACCTTGTATGTTTCGTGGCAGCGCTCCAAAAGATTTTCGCTGATGCCGCGGCATCGTGTCGGTCTCCGCAACCACACTCTATCTCCCGGTTCCAAACGAAGTTCACGTCGGCACAGGTTGTACAGTCTAGCATCGACACGTTGTTGGCCTTAAATCCGCTGACAGGTAAGTTGGCGCGCCTCCTCTGCTCGCTGACTGATCACTTGCGCGTCTATGCTCCCGTGCTCCACTGGCTAATGGGGCAGCATCGAGCCAAGCATTGTCTTTATTTTTCTGCCACGAACCAGCTGAAATTTTTTGACTCCAGTGGTTTCTTGAACTGCCGCGCTAGAAGCAAACGTGACGTGTGGCAACACCGACACTTCGCCCCACGTCTTGTGCAGCACGTCAACGTACATAGAAATCATGTCCGCAAGGGTATTGTTTAGCCACTCCGTGAGCTCGTTGGTTTGCGGATGGTACATTGTGGTTCGTCGGTAGCTGGTTTGGCTGACCCGAAGGAACATCCGCGCAACCCACGTTGTCGGATGTTGTAGGCGATAAATGTGGTTGGCTTCACTGGAATGGTAGCATTCCGGGCGTAGGTCAGCGGTTCTCCAGACAGCCGCCTCCCTAGATGCCGACTCTTCTTGGGAGACGAGCTGGGGTTGTTCCCTCTGGCGTCTAGCGTACCGGGGAACAGGCGTGTCACGTCAAATAGGCGCCGGGTACTGGCAAGCCACTCGCGGCGACCGTCAGATCACGGCGGCGTAGGTCAACGCCGGTCTCCCGTGGCTGCCACGTTGCAGGGAGCTTCCTGCTGCATCGTCCTACCGCTTGGGTTCATCGTTGTCGCTGCACCACATAGCAACGGCGAGTTGAAAAACTATGAAACTTTGTACTCACGAGACACTACGCATAACTATTGGACTACGTAACGACGCTGCAGTTCAAACTGTCAGAAAGTGCAACCGCACCATTCAGCCTTCAGTGAGCAGCGATGTACGCTGCGTGGTTTCGTTTCGCTGGGGCACTCACAGCGTACCCTCGGTAACAGCCGCGCGACTGGGCGCCGGTCGCATTACACGGAGTAGGTACGGGTCATGGCAATTCAATCAACGGAATAAAACCTTCATTGAAGGCAAGCAATGCTATTACATTTCGACTTCGTCATCATCAAAACACCCCATAAATACGTTCCCAATTTTAGTATCTTGAACCTTGTGTATAAATGTCAGTATTCGTATACGATTTGGCATTCAAATTTTTGGCCGCTATTCGTCACTATACGACTCGAATTCGATTCGAATTCAAATTTTACTATTCGCACACTCTAGTGATAAAAATATACAATATGATACTGGCCTACACAGGCTCATACCGGTCACCGGTATAACCGCACCATTCGTCCCTACACATATCCCAAGCAGCACATAAAGGTGAAGAAAACGTCGAAAGAACGTCGAAGACGTCTGTAACGGGACGTCGTAAAACGTCGAAGGTCCGGACGTTACCTTCCTTCGACGTCGATGAAACCTTTAAATTTCCGCGAGAAAAGCTGCACAGAAGGCCGAGGGGACGTTCCAAATGACGTTGTTGCACGTCATATGCACGTCTCAGTGGGCCGTTGCGTCCTCCCTTGACGTTTATGATACGTGTGTTTACGACATCCGGACTACCAACGACGTTCACAGAACGTCGAGAAACCTTTCCAAATTACGTTTCCTAGCCGTCGTGGGAAAACGTTTTGTCCCCCCCACAAAAAAAAAGAAAAAAAAGTATTTTTTTAGTGTTATTGCGAAGGCAAGTTTCTATCATGGAAGTACGAAGGAAGTAACTAAAACACAGGTTTGGTACGAACTGTTTATTTGAGCATGTTCAGACACGAGATGCAATGCCTCCAAAAGACGTTCCTGGATGTGCCAGCCTCAAAGATGTAAAAGAACAAACAAATTCGGGTAAATAAATGAGCAAGAGACGATGTCACGTGGCGCGGAATGTTCACCGCTTACTTCGTTCTGCTTCTGATTAATGCGCTGACGCGCGTGCTTTAGCCGTCCTATTGCGCGTAGCTGGTACTCTCGCTGCATGCACGGGAATGGTTTCAGAAGGGGGATCCCGTTCGGCTTTGCGTTCTTGATTGGGATCGTCGGCGGCGTCTGAAGGGTCTTGATCGGAGACTAGACTTGACGCGCCGTTATGTGCACTGCCACTTGTTTTCTAGGGGGCGTCATTCATATCCTCACAGGAAACTTGATCCGAGCAGTAGTAAGATTCAACGTGTGAAGCGTTATGGCCTTGAAAAAGGTCCTCGAGCCGTGACTGAATACGACGGCGTTTTTGGCGATCACCGACTTCTTCATGGGGGCGACTTGGACGACTCATCCAATCGCAGCACTTATACTGTATGCAGACTCAAAAAAAAAAAAAATCACGGCGCCATAGCAGCCTGCCTCCGAGACCCGTAGACGTGATGGCCGGTGCTAGTGACTGGCTTTCGGAAAAAGCTGGACCGGGTCCCAGAGCTGTTCTCTTTGGGCCAATTCGAAGAACAGAACATTCA